CGCGTCAGCACGAGAACCTGCCTCACAGAAGTCTCGTCAAAGTGAACAAGGTCACGGTGTGGTCATCCATGATCATTACAAAATTTAGCCAATATAGACATCAACAAGCGCGAAATAAGGGTTACATTTGTGGCGGAATGACGGCACAAAACTAGAATTCATACCTACTGGCCCCTTTTTGAACAACGCTTTGGAGATTGAGTTGGAAGCCATCAAGTCATTTGTCGCCTTCCTCAGTTATGTCATCCTGCCGACTAAACTAACATGAACAAGCCACGCAACCGATATATACAGTTACTTTCAGAAACGAAAGTGCTACTTTTAAAAGCGATGTTTAATTCTTAAACGTATTTGTAGGGGAACGATTCAAATGTCAAATTAGTGCTCAAGATACTCAAATAAAATTGCACCAATTGAAGCCAAAGCGAAAAAGTGGACCTTGGTGACACACTTCGAGTGGATCCTCACCAACGCCGTGCTAGTTTTTACCGGTTACCTTGGTTATGCACACGGCACACTAATCTGCACAGTGTTGGGCTGTAAACGCTCAGACATCTGCAGATCCTGTGTCTCATTGTTCTCAAGGTTGTGGTCGCATTTCAGATAGCAATTTGACAAAGTGAACATGATTTGCAACTTCATTTGAACAGTGAACGAGCTGCAAGAATGCTGCCGAAATGACGACAGACATGAATATGATTTTCATTGAGTAAAGTCGGGAATGCCTTGCATGTGTAGGCCGAAGGCAGTACCCATGATCTGGTGGTAGAAGTGTTTTGTGATTTTATCTGTTATTGGTGCAGTTGCATCCACAATCCTTTAAATGCCTTCAAGGTGGTTGTAGGAATTGCCTAATTGGGAACATCCCCGAATTGTTTATGCATCACGTGGTAGAAGGTGCGGAGAAAGTGTCAGTCAAATAGCGCTGAAGACAACAGAGTGGGAGGAAGCCGCGTTGAAGAGGATAGCACTGATCACAAAATCACATCACATCTCGAACCATCGCACTAGGCAACTCAAAGTTGTCAAACCCATCCTGTAGCAAATGGGGCTAGGAGTGATGGCCCTGAGGCAGCAGTCCTCAATCCCGACAGCACACTACCTGGTCCACTAATTCTGCTTGGTGAAATCGACTGAAACCTAAAAATCAATGTACGTGTGCGACTGACGAACACGGGACAGCGCTTGCGATATTGCCAGCACAAATCGTTCCACGCTTGCACATTGGTAGTGGGGGTTCACTGCTAGGTGATCGTAGCCCCGCCACCGACACTCCCACGACAGAAGTCGACGGTGCGACCTAATTTAGACTGACATGACGCCAATCGCCTCACCGTTTCCCCGTGCGCATATCGTTTGGCGAGCCTGCACCATCATCACGTAGACACTATTCACTTTGAGAGGCAAACACTCGCCAGAGTGAAGTCTCAGACCGCATTTCGTGCTACCAGAAATATGCCAAGTTATGACTTAAATAACTCACTCTAATAACAACCATCGGGCAGTGATTGGATGTCATCACAGCAAAGACCTGGTGCAGACTGCAGCGATCACCTCCGGCTAGGATCCCACAAATTGGAATGTGCAGTGCTGCTGTTTCCTTTTCCAACGCTTGTTTAGCCGCACTCAATGCTGCCGGTTTCGTGGGAGGGGTTGTGGTCGTTGTTGAAACCAGCCGCTCCCCACCAAGCGACGTTTGACCCTGGAACATTTTGAAAACTGACTGCAAAAACCTGGAGTTTGTTAAAAATGACCACATGAGTAGTGTCCAGTGCCGCGCTCACTCTACAATGCTATCTTGTTTCCAGACATGTTTGCAGTGACTTGCACAAGCAGAGAACTGAGTGTCGCTATCGTTTTATTGCATGGATCATAGTCTAGCATTGAGCGACGTGAACGACGCACTGTTGTACGCAACGCGAACGAAGGAGGCAGCAATCCATTAAGGGCTTTCATTTAGCAACTACTTGTGTGTACTTATGCTAATTCGTGAAAAACCTTCTATTTGTTCAAATGATACGCTTTCGGACTCTTAACAAGGAGCTTCTTTGGGTCTGCAGAAGGAAATCTTGGATTTGGTAGAAATGATATATGCTGTTTAATATTTCTGCGAGCTAACCCATTAGACATAGAAATTTGGAGGGTGTTGCTATTTAAGGCTGAAATTAATTTTGAAGGCAAAGTTGACCCAAGTTGGTGACTTGAAGGTAATCAGTTAGATCATGTCATTAAAGCAACATTTAACACTAGAAGGGTACAAATGAAAAAAAACATTTTGAGAATAAAAAGTCGATCTATTTCACGGGAAAACAAATAAACATTCCTACGTACCAAGAGTGCCTCATCTCGTAGATTCCGTGTACAAACGAATCATGATGTAAATGATGATTCGTACGAAATTCACCGATAAGCACTCTGAGGTCAAACTATAAGGCGTATTCCCACGGTTAAATGAAATGCGACATATTGTGGCCAGTGACAAACCCAATCATGTGGTTATCAAAAGCGCTAAATAAAAGTTATGAATACTTAACCATGATAAGTTATATCAACAGATCGTCCGCTCAACTCTTAACTACAATTGCGATTGACTTAAGAATCACTTCAGACATCAATCAAACTCGCCTGCATGTCTCCACTTGCCACCGAATCATCGCATGATTCAACCGCCTCGCCACATCCCTCACCACGAAACATGAATTCATGTCACCGCCGAGTCGCACGTCCAGCGCAATTGGTGTAACTTGCCCGACTTTACTTCCAGAATCCATCAAGATGATAAACACGCATGGCTCCGCATTTCACTCATGTGTTTTTTCTGCGAAAGACAACCTACGCGTAGTGAGATTTCACGGTGTTGAAGCAACTTGGCCTCCGTCGTGGCAATCTCGAAGTGCCTTATTATCACGTCTGGTGTCAACTAATTACACGCTAACTGACATGCATTTGAGGTCAAATGTCGGGCTGAAAGAGCAGGGATTTCGCTATTCCGTGTCTCTGCCCACAGTGCCATGCCTGTCAACGTTGTAATTTACGAGGCCTGCGACATCGTGGCACCCGTTGTATTCATTCCTGTGCTCATTTGGTCATTAGTGTGTAGAACAACTGAGAGTTTTGTAATCCATCAAAATCTGCTCCACTGTGAGGTAGACTTGGATTTCGCCAATTTAATTGTTTTCCTGGCATAGTCTACTTTTGGCCCGCTCTTAACTAAGCCACACATTAGGGTCTGACAAGCCACACTTGCACCAAGACACGATCTCATGACACCGCGCACCATGTTGCGGCAATCACCACATTAACCTTAGCGAGGCGACGCTTCACAAAGCAAGCTACTCAAGTGATCCCATTGATGAAACCACTTTGTTTTCAAACGCTCGTCAAATCGATAGGAGCGATAAGATGCAAAAGGCAGTGATAATGCCACATGAATTTATGGCAAAATATGTAATGTGATTTAACAGGTCAGTCAAATTCTGAATGCCAACATGGTGTCAGGAATCAGACCAAACTGGTGGCTGATAGTGATGATTTGTCAAATTCCACTCCGTTTTCCTCGGCCTCCACCTCAGTCTCGTCATCACTTTTTTTCTTGATGCTTTCGTAAATCGCCGAAGTTGTTGCTGATAAATACATCACAGAGAGACCTCCAATACCCGAGCGACAACGGTCCCTGAAAGATCAAGCATGAGCATCATGAAGTGCATGTGTGTGGTAATTTACACGGCAAACATCACGGCTGGCAGCCATTGGTTTGTTTTCATCAGCCGCGTAAATTGCTACAAATGAACAAGCAAGTTTGGTTAATTTGTCATGCCCTAACACCCATTCGTCGAGGCGGAGAGAATGTGGTTTTTTTGGACTGTTCCAATTTAATCAAAGGCATCTTCTAGCTTTATGTTCTCGTGGATGTAGATATAACGAATTTCGATAACTGTGATGTGGTACACGTTCGCTGTTTCCAGTTTAAAGTGCATTTCACTGTCGTTAGGTTTAATTGTGCAATCGATGAATTTCACATCGTAGTCCTATCCACCAGAACTACCTTTGATGTCTTCATAGAGGCGGCATTTTTGTTATTTCGCTCATGGCGCAATTGAAAACTCCAAAGCTCTCTACAGTCGTCAGCGATGGTGCATCTGCAAAGGCGACTGTCGATGCATAGTCGGGTAATTACAAGATTCTTTGTCTGATAATCCATCGCCATTTCCAGGGCAGATGTAGCAGCAGATAGCAAATATGATTGTTCTGTAAATTTGCAGACAATGTTCTGACCAAAACGTTCTGGTTTGATAATTTGAATGGTTAGCGAAAGGCTTTTCAATGCGTGGATAAAAGACATCTCGTAATAGCAAATGCGACTCACAGGAGCCATTCCATGGCAAAGAGAATGCTCGCGGCCTTGGTGGGAACGCCTATCGACGAAAGAACCGTGACAACCAAGACCATGCTCGAACTGGGGATGTTCGGAACAGCGAGGGAAGCGGAGAAAGTAAGCAATCTGGTCGAGCATTGGGAGATAAAGGGCATTGTGAGAGTGCGTTAGGGTCGTAATCAGTGTGTTTTGCAAATGCGCTTGTCTCAAATAAAGCGTCAGTGGTGAGGTGAGTAGTACTCTTGACCTCTGGCTAGATCATCATGACGGGGCTCAATCAGCATTGCAATAGTGGCCATCTTCAACTATTAGAATCTCGCTTAACTAGTGCCAGCGTGCTGCGTCTTCTAGGGTTTAGTGATTCGCTGGTTGAAAACCGCCTGGCACTTCGCCCTGTACTAGTACTTTTGTGAAGCGCGAAGAGTGACCATGCCAGTTACGGCTACATGGTCAAAGAAGCTTTATTCATGGAATTTTATGCAATAAAAGGGCATTAACATTGGGCCCTTTATTCGAAGGCAGAGCGTATGTTGCTCTATTTGCAGCACAATGGATGCTGAATAAAGTTATGTGGATAGTTGAACTTGCTGAGAAGTCTAACGTAGCAAAATAATCACGGCCCATGCTAAATGTCCAATGAGCCTGTTTACGGTGTCAACTCACATGATGAAGATCACCTTCCCGGCGTCGATTTCAACACCTGCCTGCTCTGTGACATACACACAGGCCGCTGTTATGAAGATCGCTGGACCATCACCTTTCATTACCGCACACACCGGAACGACAAACCGAGAAGCCATTGTGTTGCACCCATATTTGTCAAGTCCAGAGTACATTTCTGCCATCGCGACTGCCCTAAATGGCGAAGCAACTAGAGAGACGGAGTTTATTCATGCGTGCTGTGCTGCTAACACAAACAATGATTAGCACTAAGTTGGGAGATTAATTGCACACAAATGAGATGTTTATTTTGGATCAAGCATACCTTATTCCCGCTGCAGTTTCAGTGATGTCATTGTTCATCATTGAATGCAATAGAAAGAAATGGTGTGCATGTGTTTAGTGCCAACAGAAATGGTTTCGAAATAATTTTAGAGATCACCATGCCCTTCCATTAACTTCGTGATCCGATTTCATCCAATTAATACCTTCGTGGGTTGATGAACTAATTACAACCGTTTACCAGATGCTTCCTATAATTTCGTCGGTTAAAATGAGCAAGTACAAGACCTCCACGGTTGAATCGCATTACATTCTTGTTAAGCGCACCTTCTGAAGAGGAAAGTGCAGTACTAGACAGTTGGATGGTGCTGAATTAACCAACTCTGCCTTTCAACCTGCAATGCACCTGAGGTCACAATCACGACATTGTTGGTTTGAGGTGGGACTCATCAGTACCACCTCTGTACCACTCCTACGTCCAATTCAATTCGTCCCTTACTGACACACATCCGGCCTCGCGAACATTCCTCACATCATTTGTACAACACAACTGAGCCAGTTTCCTCTCGCTGTTGGAAGAACTTCTTGCATGTTGTGCATTCTAGCCCAGCAAGAAAACATCACCCACGGGGGTTCCATACCTGTCCTCATGTCAAATGAGTGCGTTTGTATCTTGGGTTACCTCATAAACTTGGAACTGGTTACTTAAACAACGTGCTTAAATTTGACGGACTTCACATCGTAGTGACAAAATTTAACGGATCAGGTTATTTGCTCACAGACAGCTGGAAAACAACCAGACCTCTAAGAGAATCCGTTAAATTCTGTTTGGTTTTCTTTCTGGCGACGGAATAAGTGTGATGTCAAGCGGATGTCGTGTAGCGGGTGCGCATACCTGTTTGCTATCTAATGTAAATAGGCCTCGTTTTGGGGAGCACGAAGAAACTCGACAATTGGGTTCTATTTCCACTGATGTTAATTGACACCCGGAAGGTGGTCATGGTTCCCATAACAGCAGCACCCTGATTTATTTGCGGCCGATGTTGTGCAAAACGGCAGTGACAATAACAGTTGAAAATGTTAGCGTCAGTTTTGGAATCATATGAAAAGCTGGGCGCTAAATGATTGAATCCTTACGGACTAGTCGTGGCGAATGATATCAAAAACGGCTCTAAACTCTGTTAATGCCAGTTCTACGGTTGTCTGATTGCCTTACTCTTATTTTCGCATATTGTGAAGTGTGATACACATCGTTTTGAGGTGTAGTTGAATGAGTTGCTTTGCCGACCTTAAAATGCCGTGCACGATTTTGCTTTTTTTAGTGGTAAGTCGACGCTTTAGGCAGGTACAGAAATGGTCAATTTTAATCGTCTTGAGCCTTTTTTTTGGCCCACATTTTACCCGGAACACTACTCAAAGTTCTCTTAAACTCCAACCTATTTGGTAGGCTGGCATATTACCAGCATTGATCCAATCACGTCTCACTCTCAGGTACTTACATGACATTGGCTCTGGTTGAGAGCAATTATCTTTTATTTTGAATTGAAATTAGTGGTGACAAAGGCACACTGAAGTTTCGTCTACGGGAGTAGGTGAGTGCAAGCAATGGAGAAACAGGGGTCTGACATCGAAGAGACTCTACAAGATGCAAAGTATAAGAATAAATGCGTATCATTTCTCATCAAGAACTGGTTTATGCTTGCCACCATCGTTGGAGTTGGGGTTGGTTTTGGAATCGCCTTCGGCGTGAGATCGGTACAGCCAGATAGTGTTACCATTACCTGGCTCAGTAAGTATGACAACTTTCTTCACTACGATTTGCTTTTATTTTGGTCAAGAAAATCAGTAGCCCTCCTCATCTCATATTGGGTACTAGGCAACATATTAATGTGTTTCATTAGCCGTAAATGCAGGATTAGCAAAAATGAATTCGTACGCTGAGATAAGTTCTAGAAAATTTGCCGTGAGTATCGGACGGCAGGTGATTTTTATCAGAAATTTAAATTAATTTCAGGGCTCACAGAAATGAGAAAAAGTCCTCACTACGCATGCCATTTGTCACACAAGTAATTGTAGCATCATTTTACCAAATTATGAAACTCATATATTTTAGAGCCAACAGTTATGGGCATAAATTATATTCCTAATAACTTGGCCTAGTTAGTAATACCTGCCAAATATATGATTTTAATTCGAGGAAGGCCAGGATTTTGCCAATACTTGCAGATTTACATATTCGACTTACTCGGGCTGGATAGAAAAGGGCGAGGAGTTTGAAAGTGACTCTTAGTTTACCAATTGCCTTTGGTATTTCCCAATACAGTTATTAAATGTATGAAGGTAAAATGGTTTTTGAACAGGTATGATTTTTTCCCCATAGCTATGCCGGGAGACATTTACCTCCGAGTGCTCACGCTGACGATTCTACCTCTTATAGCCTCAAACATTCTCGTTGGTAAGTTGTTCCGTATCCCAATTACAACCGGTTATCAAATATTTCAGTTTAGAGCTATTTAATCCTTTCTATTAAATACATTTTAGTTGATAATTAATCATAAATTTCTAAAGCGGAACTCCAATCTACAATATACTTTATCCTACTGAACCCTCCATATCCAATTGAGAATTCAGTGTTACCTATTCAGTTCTGGCAAATCCTTCTTAATTAAAGTAACATTTTTGCATCAATCTTAATAACAATCAAGCTCTTGGTCCTAAAATGTTGAATCTTGTTTTCGATATCTGTGGTAGCACTTTTCTGGTATCATAATTTTATTTTCATGCTTATTTCTTATTTTCGTTGGCATCTAATCTTTTTGCTCTCGGAGATCCACTATTGTTATGAAATTTCATTCAAGCATGACATTTAAAAAGGGGAATATCAAATAGCCAGGGATTAAAGTAACAAATGAGGCACTATTTTCATCACTGCTTACCATAAATAGTCCAATGACGCTCTGTTGCTATTGTATGCTTATCGATAAAAGTTATGGGACATTGCTTGGACCTTCGCGATTCACATGAATTAAGAAGTTCTTTAGAGTTGCTATTTGCATGCTAAAGTGTATTTCTTACAATCGATGTTCCGTATCCCCGTTAAATTTTTTGAAAAGGTATTAAAAGATTACGAGCGCCATTAGTTAAGGCTTGTGTTGTAAAAAAGGTTTCCTCAGAATCAATTTATTGGATTTGAATCCATATGAGTTCCGTTAATTGAAAATAAGAATCAAGATATTACAATATCTAATTTGAAGTCTGTGCAATCTACTTCTCATTGTAACGTGCACATAAACCTCCGAATATAAACAATAGTCGGTTAAATTTTGCATTAATTCAAGTTAGAATCGATTTAACTACCAGGACGAAAAGAACTACATTTCCTACTTACCTAATTATAAAAAACACTGCTGATAAAAATTACAGAAGCGGCACGCAATTTCATTTCTTCAGTATACTTTATATTTAAGAAAAAAAGTGAACTAGTGTTTAATTAACTAGGGAATCCACTTCAGGATGATATTTAGTCAATACCGCTTTATCAATTATGTAAGGTAGCAGTTACAGCGAATCCTGTTATATATTTATCCATTTAGACCTAGTACAATTATTAGGACAGTAGTTACCAAATTTTATCTATTCTTACACGAAAAACCGCCTTTTCAGTCATCGCTACTCTGGAACCGAAAAAGAATGGCAAAATTAGCATTATAGGAATGGCCTTAGTCATCTGCTCCAACTTTGTTGGCAGTCTGATCGGAACAGCCTGTGCAGCTATCATTAGGCCAGGTGAGTCCTTTTCAATTTACGTTGCCTCATCTTCAGTAACCCAGGCTCTGTCAAAAGTCTTGTCATTCTTTTTACGGAGCCTGGCATCTGCCTTTATATCAATACTCATTTTTGGACATCGGTTGTGTTTTTGCTTTGAGGCAACACGAACCGCTCAATACCGACGCATAGGTACCGAGTTCCTTTTATTCCAAAGGAAAACCAATTTAAAAAAAATAAAATTTGAAAACTTCAAAATAAGGCCCATTTCATTTGGCTTCATTGCACGTATGAAAATAACATTTTCAAGGGAATTCACCTAGCCTTTTTTCATAAAAAAAGTTTTCTTGTTACTATTAGTATCCTATATTATCCACAATAGCAAATTTTTAAAAATACAGGACCATTTATTTCCCACGAACGTCTCTAGACACACAGCTGAATGATAAAGCTGCACTGTTTTCCGTATCGAATATGCCTGTTTACGATCAACACTAGGGTCTAATTGAATTTTACTGAGTAGATTTTGCCATTAAATCTCGTTTTGTTTCTTTAGTTTCTTTCTCGTTGACTGTGCTTTAGATACGGCCAGTCTTATGTTACCAAAAGCTCCTCTAACATAGGCTTAAACATTTAAAAATGTGTGTCAATCCATACACCAAGTGGACGTTTGTGCAATTGATTTCACTGATTCAAGCTAAGTGGAAATTTCTAATTTGACTTTTAGGATCAAGAATATTAACAGGCGACAGCGGATCTAACGCACCACTGGTCGGTAGCGGCCTTTCTCCGTCCGACATATTTAAAGACATGTTCTAGTAAATTATGGCTTTTTTATTCAGGATGTTTTAATAAATCAAGTGTAATTTTTGTTACTGCAAGTATGATAATAACGGATAATTGCTAATGAGTGCCTGCTTGCCCTTTTCATATGGTGGAAGCCAATGACAAAAGGGTATAACGTACATTCGTCTTTTTCAAAAACTAGGTTATCGCATGATCACATTTACTAAGTTTGTTAGTAAATGGCCAGCCTGATCAGTAAAAGCATGTGTATTGAAAATAATGGCTTATACACTTTTATGCTTTAAACCAAACACTAAGCGTTTTTTGTTTAGTAACTTTTTTCCGGACAACATCGTGGGTGTTACAATTTACCAGGTAAATTTGGTTTTTTTTTCTTAACGGAATTCCAACTACATTATGATATTTCAATATTATCCGAATTTCCTAGTACCGAACGGAGATAGTTAATTATACAACCAATGAAAAGGTTGGAAATTCTACCAGAAGTGGAACAAATATGATTGGTAGGTCAATTTTCATTTCAAGAATGCTACGTTTTACACGTTAAAACGTCTGAACGCAACGAACAAGACACATTTTTTTCTATTTTTACTGATAGTAATATTTGAGTATCCCGGGTAATTTTGTGACGACTTGAAAAATAAATGGGTATTCAATTAATGGAAATTTGCAATACCTAAACGAGAAGTTTCATCTAAGCGGAGTGAGTCGTGGTCAGTGTAGCTATGTAGGTTTTGCCGAAATCAACGAAATGGTTAGGCATTCAGTCGCACATGGCTTGAGAACCATAAATACATTAGATTTGATGAGAAGGACAACACCGTGATGTGAATTAGTGTCCGGAAATGCTGCAAAATGTTACGGTTAGAAATTCTGGTTGGGTTGTGCTTTAGATTTTACTAGGTCAAAATGCATCCTACGTCTGTTGATGCGTCTCGACGCGGTTTCTTCAGATACATTGATAAATACCTTTTGTTTACGTACATGTTTGATTTTACAGGTGTGCTCTTTTGTGCATTGGCGTTCGGGGCAGCAGCCAATGCTGTGGGCACAGTTGCGAAACCTTTTGTGAACTTCTTCGAGGCGCTTGCGGCCACCGTGACCAAACTCATGAGTGTATTTTTACTGTACGTTAAATAACCTTAGTTTTTCTGGGATATATGGGTGTGCATTGGCGTACCTGCTCCGTAAATTTAGAGTAGCATGAACCAGGCCACACATATACTTATGCAATCAAGCATTGTCCAGACACCGTTTTGGCTCAAACGATTTAGGATGTTGACTTTTTCTGGGGTGTTAACGAACCCGGTTCCTTCATTCTTGGATATCGTGATGACCTTCAACTTATCTCGTAGAATGTAGGTTTCGTCTGGGAGCCATTGCGGCAGACTGATTTATAAGTAGGGCAGCCATCGGGATAATTATATGTAAGCACAAAAAGGTCATAAAAAAATCATTAGAGAGTGCAAGCAGCAATGAGTACATTCTTATTTCATTATGTTCCGTAAATTTTACTTACCTTCTTAAACGTTATACCACTGATACAATTAAGTGTTGAGTATTTCAAATCATAAGGCTATTTCATTATTTTGGGTTATTTTTGCATCTAAAAGTGCTTTATCGTACATATTTTATCCCCTTGGCCACTCTAGCCAAAATAATCAATAACCATGAAACATACGAAGGTATATCATGTAATGTAACATGAACGTTCCCAGTTTATTCAAACATAGTCATTTTTAACACATTTTCATTCCATTCCCTTCATTCTAGGCTTTACCTCATCAAACAGAATTTTATTTAAAATTAATTCACTTTAAGTTTCCGATTATAACAAATACTATATTAAGCAAAAAGCTTCGTCTAACGATACAATTAAAACCTCAAAGCACATTCCTCTAAATAAGATGTATTTAGACGACATCTTAGTTCATATTGCCGAAATATCCTTAATCATTCACAGGTTCACCCCAATTGGCGTCTGCTTCATGGTAGTTGGATCGCTGCTGGATCGGCAGAACATCGCATCCGACTTCGTTCAGCTTGGACTATTCATCGCAACAGTTATCACAGGCCTTTTGATTTACTTCATCATTGTGATCATCGTTCTATGGATAGCTAGCAGAAAAAATCCACTGCGCCTACTAAAATACAGTTTGGAGCCGTTTTTGATATCATTCGCCACGACTAGTCCGTAAGGATTCAATCATTTAGCGCCCAGCTTTTCATATGATTCCAA